ACTATAGTTGTAGGGCGAAGAACATGAACACGAGGGAGGATAATGTTTCAGATTTCAGTCTATAGATTCCTCATGCATGAATGTGAACGTAATTGTGTAAATATACACAGGAGTAAAAAATTGAATCTAAGCCCAGAAGCAAAATGCATTTTTTTTTGTATATGTGTAATTTAACTCTTGGTGTATTTTCAATTTCTGCACGTGAACACACAACAGATTAAGCTAACAGTACGGTGTAAAAGCAACTTGCTTTTGAACCACTATAATAGCTCTCAAAGAAAATGATATTCACAAGCCACAAGCTAGTAGCTTGCAAAACCTTTTTTTTCTATTGGGAGTTCAGTAATTGTCCAGATCAAAATGATTACAAGGCATTCCGAACGTTCGTTTTCCCATACAAAACTTCTTAACAAATTGAGAATCTCAAACTTTGTAACACCTTTCTGTCATACATGTACTAGTCTCTTGAATTTAGTGCATTGTTCCCTCAAACGAACTAGCCCAGCATAAAAAATCATAGCTACATTGTAAGGGAATATTTTTCTTCTTTTGAACCTAAAATAATTAACCATCTTTTCTTTATTTCATGAATCATTGACATTTGATCTTATTTGGTACGTTTCTCGTAACAGGTAGCAAATATAATTTTACACCTAGGTACAGATTGTCCATGCATGCAAAGTTTCCACCGGTAAGTAAGTCAACAAATGTGACTGGAACTTAATGACTAAATCGGTTTATCTGTCTAAAAAGTTTAAAAATTGAATGAGAGCACTCAAGTGCATAACATTATTGCTCCCTAGACATTGAAGTAATTATAAAAAAAAGTGTAAAGGAGTAAAACAAAAAAAAAAGATTTGCTTGTATATGTTGAAGTTGTAATAAATTAGATTTTACTTCAAATCAGTTGGTTTTGACCTTATGAAAAATCTTCAGAGATAAACGTATCATCTTGTTTTGTTTTGTTAGGTTCTTGTTTTTTATGGTTATTTTTTGGTCGTTGTCGTCGGTATTGTACTCTTTTCTCATTCTCATCTTTTTCTTGAGAACCACTGGGCCAATTTCAACCAAACTTGGCAAAAGATTTTTTTTTTGGTAAACAGAATTCAAGTATGTTCAAATGAAGGGTCAACGCCTCTTCCAACGGTACATATTAACTAAGTAACAGTGAAAATTTTCAGGCGTATTTTAAACTCTGCCTTTCAAGAATTACGTAGCTAGAATATATCTGACATAATGTTGATATAAGTTTTCTCAAATAATGAACCCTATAGAAAGGTTCTATATAAAATTCTTCTTCTCAAGAAAAATCATTATTAATGATATTTATGTAAAAGCATATCATCTATTACTGCATATTTTAAGTTTGTTCGAATAATAACCCCAGACTGTATAAATATGCCTTAATGGGGCAACCGATGTATTACATATAAATAGAAATATGCAGAAAAAATCTTCAGTATAGCAATGATTGGTAGTGTAGGTTGTGTAGATTCAACTCTGTTTTAAAATTGACTCCTAAGGTTGAGGCCGTATTTGTAAATCGAGGTATAACATAGAAATGTATACAGATTTGAAAAGAGAAAGCATCTTTTAAGAACAGGAAAGCCATTACTAATATTAGAAGCATCCTCGTATGATATGGATTCGGGTTTATTCAAATCATGACACCTGGTTTAGGTTGGAGACACAGTGGGCGATCAATTTCTTTTAAACACTGACCGACAGAATCAAACCTTGTTTTTAAAAAAAATTAAGGATGGATTCTTGTCAGCATTTTACGTCGTCAATGGGTCTCCATAGATTTTGCAAGTCGTAAAATGCAAATAAGATATTTAATCAATCTGAATGAAAAATGATTGATTAATTTATCAGTTTATGTATTTTTGAATCTATTTCTATTAAAAAATATAAGTTGTTCGTAATTTTTTATTTGATTTGCGACAATTGCCATCAAATGCGCAGTTCCGTAGCGAATGTCAACATGTCCAGGTCGTTTCCCGTAGAAAACCCCGACAGGATTGTTTTGTAAAATCTACAAGCTGTGATCATTATTGAAGCATTGTAGAAGCCCAGGGATGATTGAACCAATTCTAAGTCACCGATTTCTTTATGCCCGGGACATCCGATCAACCAAAAGAAACTTGAAGGTCACAAACATGCAAGATTGCAGACCCACGTTGCCTCGATCGCCTGATGTCATGTCGTGTCACTGTGCATTGAGATTGTACATGTAAGTAAGTTATGTATGTCTGACAATTTAATTTATAATTTTGAAATTGAATTACATAGTTTTTATTGATAAATGGGAATTCGAAAGGATATTATAGATCGATGTATTTCGTATGGCTTGCTTGTTCCCGCGATCGACAGTTCAACATTTGAGGATTGAAATTTATCATTTCCGTTTGTTCGTCAGTTTTATGAATACTATTTATTCACAAAAATAGCATTTTTTTTATATGATTACAACAAGTTTAATAATACTAACTAGCCTTATTTGTTAAAGACACATCAATCATCAAGTTGCTAGAAAAGTAAGGTGTTCCGCTGGGGTACAAATCAAAGTGAAAAAAATAGGGATATTGCATGTGGAAATATCAGTAACATTGAAACAAACAGTTGTCTTATTTATGGAGCAAAATGAAACACAATGGTTCAGAAATTATTTATATTATTGTATTTTTTCTGTATTTTTGGGTTTAAAATGTTTTTTATAGTACAAAATTTATAATATAAGACATTATACTCTGTTATACAATGTGGTATATAAAATAAAATATATATATTAAAAAAACTTCAATCATTTTTTTTTTATAAATCAATAAATGAAATACAGATAAGATTGATTGTTTAATGTTAAAATTAATTTTTGTTAAATAAAAAACAATAGTCTAAGAACTGTTAATGTTTTATTTTTAGGAGGAAACAACCCTACAGTTCTTAATTTACCCAGGAGTACACTACCTGTAGTTGAAAAAAGACTGAAGGCCAGACTTGGGCAGGATGATTGAACAAAAAATGCTTGCAGATGGACTATTGAGGTACATAATTATAAGAAATATGAACACAACTGTATATAACTAATAGGGATGTCAACGAATATTCGAGTACTCAACTATCGTTCGATCATACCGACTATCGACTAAAATTTCTTTAGTCGGTTATTCGTTAAAAATGTGTTTCATCAAAGTAATTTTGAATTCTGCAGTGTAACATCAAACATGATGTTACATAAGCTGAATAAGTCAAACAAATATATATGTATACACAGTCTTTAAGTGAAACTTTCCTAAAGTAAGTTCTCCGCAAAAAATGACCAAAAAAAAAACCGGATTGGGAAAGAAAATTAAACATGTTTGTTAATGATTGTCTAACTCTTACTGTTTTAAATGGAGAAGGCAATTGTTTCCTCATTACAGAGAAAGTGTTTAATGGATCAGTTATATTCAGTTAACTAATGAGATAAATCCTTTCTCGCCTTTATTTCAACTCAGTCATTGAAGAAATGAATATAAAACGATAGCATCACACGTGCACAAAACCATCAAATTGATTACAAAATATGTCGGCATTTTGACACAGAGAGATGTTTTCACTTCGTTCATGATTTTGTTCATATGTTTTAAGTAGTAGAGCGGATATGATTAAATACGTGGATTTAAATTTATGCATTCTTTCTTCACGGACAAGCATTGACATGCATAACTGTTCTATACCTCTTTGTATTATCTCTTACCTTGTAAATGTTTACCTTCCTGTTCAGAAAAGTTATCAAAATGAAGTGGTTGGCTGTTGTTGCTTCGTTTATATTTTCGTATTCAACAACTGAAGGTAAGAGAAAGCATTCTCCTGTCACTAAAACACAAATGTACATTATCTTGTCTCTTTAATAACTACGCAAAGTACGGCTCACATTAACTTATCTTTTGTAATGAAATAACAAAGAATTGTATACACAAATATTAAATTGGCTTTTACCTCATTTAAGAGGATATAATTAAAAAAAGGTACGTTTGTTGGGATGTACATGAGTTAAAATTTTACTTCTTTTGAACCATCACGCTAAAAAAGTCAATATTATTATTGTGGAAACATTCTCAGGTTGTGTAGATTCAAGCTTGTTAAAATAATGATCCCTGGGGGGAGGATCACAACGACGATTTAAAGTTTTACATAATTATATATTCTAAAAAAAACCTTTAAAATATGTTTTTGCCAAAGAAAAAAAAAAGAATTTTTTTTTTCTGAGTTGATTGATTTTTATAAAATTTTAAAGCTCTCAAAGTGTTAAATTATCAAAGTGCATTGCCGCTGCCCTGTCATGTCAAAGCTTGCCTATTGTAAGCTGAGAAATTTTTCTACAACAGCCAAGGAATTTGATTGAACAATAAATCGGGGATTGGCGTGCGAAAATTCAAACTTATATTCAAGTCTATAAGTACATGTAGTAAAAATCTCTTTCAGAATTTTTCGTAAAATTTATTGAAGTTATAAAAATATTTTTGGTGCATTTAATTCAGCATTAAAGAATTTATTTTCATTTTTAGGACTGTGTCCACAGAACGGTAATGGTTTTTCAAATCTTATCTTAACATTATTTGGACTTTTTAAAAACTCAAATGAATTAAATTTAAGCCTAGGTTATTCTAATATGGCATATTTTTATACAAAAATCCTTTAATAAGAATAATATCCAGTGCTACAGTGTGCAAAACGGCGTAAAAATTTCATGTTTAATCGTTTTAGCTTCAAATACTTCAATATCGAATTGCAATGGTTCGGAGACGAATGGATCCCTGATTTACATAGACTTTCACAAGATCAGACCTCCATGTACTTGTACCGTAATTCCGTCCTTTGAAGGCGATATCCAGGTTACGTCAGAGAAAACTGAAGAACCCTGTAGTACAGTGGTAAGAATAGAAGCCTCTGGAAGATATTATTATTTCCCGTGCAATCATCAAATGACATCTACACAGATTATCAGCAGTATTTTTCAAAAGTTAAAATTTACCCTGTTTATTATGCATTCTACAGTCGGGAACAGTCCTACCACTGTCTAGGGTTTCAACAAAATATCGATGGTAAAATAAATATATTTTCCTAAAATTTCTTTTATCATTTGAATTTTCTTTTTGTTGCATTAATAATTTATGAATTACAATGATATTAATGTTTTTAATGTAAAATGCAATATATTTCTTGGATGTCAAACTATTAATGCGGTAACCGCACATGGTTACAATTAAAATGTGTCGCGTGATTTCTGAAAAAATTCTTATTTTGAGATATTCATAATAATAATTTTCTTTCAAGTACTTCTAATCTTATAAAAAAATTGTGTCCTTACTATGGCAAGGGAGAGAAAAGGAAATATCAGAGTTTTTTGTGGAGATACACCTCAAAGTACGACTAGCCGCACAACAGAAACGGGGACAAACGATTTTTCATCAAATCAACAACCGAGTTTTACCACTGTAACAGACTTTGGATTTCACTCATTGAATGCTACAGACGAAATTTACCTGGTTACATCTTTTTCAAAATGTAAGTTTATTATATTTTAACTTCCCTGCAGTGAAAGTTCTAGTCAGCTTTACTGATTATATTTTATCCTGTAAATTCGTCTGTGTGGCTGTTTGTTTTGTTTGTAAATGTACGTTTGACTTCTTCTCCAAACCCTTGACCAATTTTAATCAAATTAAGAAAAGTTTTGTTGAGGGAAATTAAAGTATGTTTCAAATGAAGAGTCATTTACATTCAAAAGCAATTCATTGCAAATTATTTGAAAATCGGTGGCATAATTAAAAAAATACACGTCACAAGCTGTCGCAATTTATATCAAAACCTGAAATTACACGATATTTCAACCTTTCTTTCGTTTTGTCTCAACTAAATATACCTTTTACGTGGAAAAAAATCGGATTCAGACAAAAAATGATTAAATCTCTTCATAGGAATAAACATATTCATGTTTAGTTATATACTTAATTGTAGATGTGTATAGCTTTACATCAAATTGTAGATTCAAATTCTTACTTCAGGGTTAGGATGAGTCCACAGAAATTATTGGATAAATTTTACCGTTTGAATATTGAGGAAAAAATATTTAAATCTCTCCTTTGAAGGACAACAAAACCTTGATTACTTTTAATATAAAGAATTAATATCAGACAGTTATGATTCAAATTTAGCTCTATTCAATTTATGGTCAATATGGATTGGGTAAATCCACAATAGTCAAGAGAGAAAATAAACAGGGAATTAGATAGTTAGTAATATCTTAATTTTGTCTAAAAAAATGAATTAGAACTATTATTAGTCATATTAAAATGAGAGTGTTTTGATATTGCGTACAGTGTAGAATTAACCTAGTTTTTCCCCGCCCTCATCCTTCTTTTTGCATAGCCTTTTAAATCTTAACTTTAAGCAACGTATTTACCTGCTCAATGCAAAATCATCCAGACGTTTTTATTAACATTTACGTACATTAAAAACATGTTGCAAAAGATATTAACATTAAGGTAGTTCTACACTCGGCGCTAAATGGGCTAAATCTTGAATTATGAAAATGAATTGAAGTCTAATGTCAATTAACTTTAATAGAGTAGAAACCTGTTAGTAAACCATATATGTTCATTTTTTGCATGAATTATAATTATTTGCACTCTGTTAGGCTAACGTATCAAAATGAAATATGAGAAAATGTGCTTCACAGGTCAATCTCGGTCATTTTAGAAAAAAATTATGGACTCAAACTTCAAAAATGTGTATTCCTTTTACTAAATAACATTTAAGAAAAAGAATAAGCTAAAAAAAAATTATATGTTGACGCATTTACTTTTCATGGTGTAAACTCTACAATAAAGGGACCCCCCATAATTTCATTCTTCCAAAAGTAATATATTGCCACATTTTCCTGTAGTTCTCATAAAGTGTGAGTGTATACTTGTATTAACAAGGTTGTACATATTTAAAACAATGATAATACACACCCAATACCTATTGTCCCAAAATTTATCTTATAATACTCTGAAACATTAAAACACCACTTGTCTGTAAATTGGAGACAATGAAAATGGGCGTGATTGTCTGAATCTCATAAACTGGATGCTTTTATTACAGAAAGTAAGTAAGTATGCTGCAAGTGAATCAACTTTTTTCATATAATAATTATTATTCTTGCCTTCAAATAATTTTGCATTGTGATTGTTGGATAAGCCGGTTGAATGGGGGGGGGGGGGGGGGGTATGCGTCTTATGAAATAATTATCATTCAAGAGTGAATTTTGTAGTTTTTGATGGATAATAATTAATTAAATTAAATTTGTCTAAGTCAAATCGTAGTCATTACTCTTCTTGCGAATTATCACTATTAGCTTTAATTTGGCCACCAACAATAGTCGCCCCGATTTACATGTACTGATGACAGCATGTTTGTAGTCCGTGTTATCAGCGCTACATAAAACATACACATTCACAGAAATGTTGTTTAATTGCCTAATTTTTTCTGTCAACCGAAAGTTGGTCCAAGTCTTCTCTTTTTGATTAATTTATCCTTAAACTGTAGAATCACTGTGTTCGTTCGTTTGTTGACACTTCGAGCAAAATCGTTACCGGATATTTAAAACGCTGTGTAAAAGTCAAACCAATATAGTTAAAAAATCACATCTCGAAAAAAATAAGTGTGGTTCCGGTTTAACTATTCGTAAATGACGTAGTGCGAGTGTAGGCCAATTTTAATTCAGTGCCTTAAGTTAGATAGAAAACGTCTCACTTTCTGTTCAAAAGATTACTAAATAAGAAAAAAAAATGACAAAATAAACAGCAAAAACACAGTACTTATTTAAAGCTTTAAATTTAAAATAAATGTTGTTTCAAATTGGAATATATTGTCTAAAGTTCAAACTTAAGATATTTTAGTTGGAATATCCACATGTGTACTGCTTGGGATCTTTGCTGTTCTAAGTCTTGTGCTGGCATTGAGGATTTGATGTTTTTCTCTTGTAATTACATGTATATGTACATGTAAATTGAAAATTAAAAAAAAAATGACTATACATTTTAACAGATTTGTTTTGTAGTTTACAGTTTATATTTTCAGAAAGCGAAACCAATTGCAAGGAATATATATATGCAATCAACGGTGGAATTTCATACAGATCATGGTTAGTGATCATATATATGATCAACCTTTACCAGATAACCAATTTTTTCAAGAAGTTTCTCAGTTAGCAGAACAAGGGGACTTTGTTGAAAGACAGGCATATGATTCTACAAGACCTGTACAGAAAAAAATGACAGACTTTTTTCATGTGGCTGAAATCCCTATTTTTTATAAACAGTTCCTTACCAAGCCTAAAAAAAGATACATAAGCAATTAAGGTGGAGCAGTTTAAAATGGTCAAGTAAGAAAAGCAACAGATTAATGTCAAAAATTTGAAAAATCCTGTTCGAAGAAAGAATCAAGATGGTCTCGCATATATTGATGTAGATCATTCCAATATTTCGCATGCCAAAGAGCAATCCAAAGGCAAAGAAAAACGGTCACCGAAAACAACATATGCCGAATTGAAAATTTAAATGAAAATTTATTATTGAAACAATATTCACTATAATATTTCTACAATTTTAATTTGTGTCGGGATATTCCATTTTACATAATTATTTTTTACATCACATTTGATCAATCAAAATTAATTTCATAGCATATGAATTCACATCTTGGTTATGTCTTACTATTTTTGTGTTTATTTTTGTATTTTTTTCTTCTGGGGCACTTGTAATTGAGTCTTACAGTACATGCACTTTTTATTAATAGATTCAAAATGATTTACCATGCGGACTGACTCAGTATAGAGTGATCGGAGGGTCATGGATTCGACCACCGGCTGCTATGTTCTTTAGTTGATTAAAAAGTTAGCAATTGTTCCTTAGCCAAGTGGAAGGCTTTGTGAAGTTTAAGTTGCGAATCCTTCGTATGAAACATTTAAAATCGATGCCCCGAGCCACAGCAGACGTTTACACAATCTAAGATATCTTAATGCTCAATGACCTTGAGTACCGAGTAAAGGTATAAATTTAAGCCTTTTTCCTGTACATTCATATGATGAGGTCTCTATAGGAATAAATAATTCTAGATATATGAATTGTTAATGAGATAGGACATAAAGCGACAGACAAAGCAGCAATACACAGAGCATTGTCATAAAAGAACAAATAAAAATACTTTAGATGTCATTCAAATAAGATCGATTGTTTCAAGGAAGTTTCATTTTCAATTTAATTTACATTATTTTAATATATCGGTGGTTTTTTCTTTTTAATTTTTTTTTTTTTTTTTTTTTTTTTTTAATATAATATTGTACTTTATATACTTTGTTGTAATTAATTTTTCCAGGGACTTTCTTTGAACACTATTTCTTCCATAGATATTTTTTCCTTCTAAATACATTTTGCACCAGAATATTGTCTTTTGTTCACATATCATGCAATATTTCGACTGGACAAGGTCATATGATATATATATATATTATTATATATATATATATATATATATATATATATATAACATATATATTTTATATATATTTTTTTCTGTTTGGGGACAATTTAGGCAGACGCTCTAATCACTGCACTATGCAGGCGACTAAATGGTATTGAATATGTAATGTAAAAATAAAATTAAAATCAAAAAGTATGAAAAGGCTATTACATTGGAAAGTAATATCAAAATTTACTATTTTCTTGTATTGTTCATATTACTATCTTATATTATGCATCCCCGTTTACTGGACAAGGTAAAAAAGAGAGATACATACATGTAGCTACAATTTATATTTAACACAAATAGAAAAAGAAACTGCTGAATAAAAGCACCATGGACAAATAAAAAGATACTTATTCCATGGCACAATATGCGAAACACTGTAAATTATGCCCGGGAATAGCTGCTGATGAGTGTTCATTAAGTCTACTTACTTAAATTAAGTATGTTATTATACCATCGTCTTCCACCTTCCTCAAATAATTTATTTTCTCCATGAATGAGTCTACTCTGCTCTGTTTTTTGCAAATATCAAAACCAAGTGTTTGTTGTAAATGAGTAAATTAAGTATGTTATTAAAGTAAAATTACTGGACTAGTACGTTCGATCTCAATATTTATCTAAATGCATCTATGTTCTTTATGCATGTGGTTTTATTTAATGTAAACATTGTATATTTCTGTGTTTGTTTTTTTAATAAGGGTCATATTTGCTTTGAATTCCTTTACCATTCGATAATGTATCATTTGCTGTAAAATTATATCTTTGAATCAGACATTTGGTTTACGCAAGTACCTTTTCTAGTATAATTCACAATACAGGGAACTAATTTTGTGACATACAGTCAGCATTAGCAAAATAATTATCAGCATGCAGCAAATACATTTATAAAAATCAGCTTTAAAAAAAATTGCAGAAACAGCATCAGCATGCAAGGGAAAAAATTCATAAAAAGGGAAGCAAAGCTCTACTTAATGCACTAGCTGTACATGTACCTGCATTGACCTTCTACCATCAGAATATCAATGAGGTTTTATTAATTATATATATATATATAAATATATATATATATATATATATATATATATATATATATATATATATATATATATATTTTATATATATATATATATATATATATATATATATATATATTATATATAGTATAAGCAAACAATAAAATAAGACAACTTTCTGCTGTAAACAGCAATGATGAATTTCAATGAACTACTTCCGCAAGCATTACAATACGACAAAATAATTAGAAAACTAGCATTAAACAAAGATCTATTAGCATCCAAAGACAGCCTTCGAATACAAATGCAAAGGTAGCATTCAAATCAGCATCGATGCTGTGACAAATTAAAATAAGTTCCATGCACGGTACATATTACGAGTACTAGTAATTTTAAGCAATATACCTCTTATTCTAGTTACACTCAGTTTTCAAATCAATAAAATCAACAAAGTAGCAGTAAAGCGTTTTTCTTATCTTGTGCACATACAAGGAAGTAGATTTACATGTACCAGGTTGAAATAAAACCATGAGCTGTGTGTACCTTTTTTATATTAGTACATAACCATTACAACGATATCATTCATATTAATGTAATTCTGCTTCATCATAAAGAAATTGTTTATTGGATCCGTTATATTATATTCAGTTAAATAACGAGATCTTTTTTCGCCTTTATTTCCTTTAAATCAATGAAGAATTTTGATATAAAAAGATTTCTCCACTCGTTTACAAAACTCTAAATTACAAAATTATAGGCATTTTGGTACTGTGGGATATTTTCTTTTCGTTCAAGTCTTTGTTTGCATGTTTTAAAGAGTAAGAATGGACATGAATAAATATGTGGATTTAAATTTATGCATTCTTTCTTAACAGGCAAGCAATGACATGTCTGTTCTTTTAATCTTCGTATTACCTCATACCTTGTAAACTCCTTATAAACCTTATCCTTATAAACCTTATATCCTTATCCTTATAAACCTTATCCTTATAAACCTTATATCTTATTATTAGTAATTAATAGAAAATTGTAATAAAACATTAATTGCTTTGTTGCTCTTTATGAGATGTTTTTATTGTATGTTTCCATGAAAAAAAATGATTCACTGTACAGTAGTAACCTCACTTTATCCCCAGGAAAACTTTCTTAAAAACATATAAAAACATCAATTAAAAACATATTAGAATTCAGCGGCGTTATTAAAATGAAGTGCCTGGCTGTTGTTGCTTCGTTTATATTTTCGTATTCAAGAACTGAAGGTAAGAGGAAGCCCTTACCTGTCACAAGAACAAAAAGTACATTTTCTTGTCTCTATAATAACTACACAATGAAGAATATGGAAATAACGAACAGTATTCAATATCAAAGTCCATAAAACAATACAAAATAGGAGCAGAGCAAGCACGGACCTCCAAAACATCAGAGGTGGGATTAGGTGCTTAGGAGGAGTGAGCATTCCCTGCTGACCGGTCACATTTGCCTTGTGGTCCTTGTAATGATCAGGAAATAATGGAAAAACCCGTCGTTAGTTCAGTGTATAAATGATGGACTAACAATTAGTATGAAAGACGCCAGTCAGCATTTGATTAAAGGATAAATTGTATAAAGGTCATTGTATCGACCACAAAACTTACGAAATGATCTATTTAAACGAGACTGCTGATATACTTGTTTCACCAACTTGCTTGTTAATTATTTTCCACGTTTTAGAAATTTTTCATACGTAGAGCATGCTCTTGCGCATCAAATCAACTGAAATACTACACAAACAATGGTCTAAATTACCAGATCTTTGGTGATGAAATAACATATAGCATTGTATACACAAATATTGGCTTTGCCTCATTTGAGGGAGATACAAGTAATTAGAAAATAGAGCATTTTTGTTGGCATGTATTGAAATTCATTTTCTTTAGAACCACCAGGATAAAAACATGAAACTTATACGAAACTTTCTTAGCATACTGTATAGTTCAATTTGTTAAAAAAAATGATGACCCCCAACTTAGGATGGGCACAAAAATGGGGATCAATGTTATACATAGGAATAAGTAGAAAAAAATAATAAAGATCTTTTTCTCAAGAATACTAAAGTCCTGTTTAGTCATATTGCTATCAAAGCATTCTCAGAAGCGTTAGGTTGTAGGATCGAATAATGACACCTTACTGTAGGGTGGAGCCTCCAAGGAGGATCAAAGATTTACATGGGAGATGCCTGGAAATATATAGAGAAACATCTTCTCAACAAAGCCTTGTTAAGAAATATTCATATGAAAGCCTTCTCAAGCTGTATAAACTCAAGTTTGCCTAAAATTTACCTGGGGATAAGGTGAGGTTACTACTGTACAGTGAATCATTTTTTTCACAGAGACATACAATAAAACCATCTCCTAAAGAGCATCAAAGCAATTAATGTTTACGCAATTCTATTGTTATGGAAACATTCCCAGGTTGTGTAGATTCGAATTTGTTCAAATTATGACCCCTAGAGGATCAAAGGATCAAAGTTTTACCAAACTATACATTGTGAAAAAATTTTAGAATTGTTTTTCCCAAGAAAATCAAAGATTTTTTTTATGTGTGAATTGATTTTGTTAAAATTCTAGTGCACCCTAAGAGTGTATTTATTTCATTTGCATTGCCACAGTACCCTTTTATGTCAAAACTTAGAAATTTAGCTAAAACCAGCTGTGGCATTTGATGAGAAAATGTAGATGGAATCGGACGCTTGGCTAGCGAAAATCAAAATTTATAATCAAATTTATATGTACATGTTCTAAAAATCTTTTGATTTTACATAAGATTATTGGAAATTGTTAAATATACATTTTTTCTATATTTTACTCAGCATTAAAGAATTATATAATTATCTTTTTAGGACTGTGTCCACTAAACGGTAAGTGTTTTTTTTTTATCCTATCTTAACATAGTTTCACTTTTTTAAAACTCTGAAATGAACGAAAGCTTCGCTAATTTTGATAAGGCATATTTTTCTGATACATGTTCAAAATCATTTTTTTAAATGTCAAGTCTACATTGTGCAAAATGACGTAAAAATTCATGTTTTAGCTGCAAATATATCATTATCGAATTGTAAGGACTCGGAGAAGAATGGATCCCTGCTCTACATAGACTTTCACAAGATCAGACCTCCATGTGCTTGTATCGTAATTCCGTCCTTTGAAGGTGACATTCAGGTTACATCAGAGAAAACTGAAGAGCCCTGTAGTACACTGATCAGAATAGAAGCCTCTGGAAGCTTTTATCCTTTCCCATGCTTTCCTCTAACGACGACTACACAAATTACTAGCAGTATGTTTCAAACTGTTAAAGTTAATCCTCATTATTATGCGTTCTACAGTCGAGAACAGTCTTACCACTGCCTGGGGTTTCAACAAAATAAAGATGGTGAAATACACTTTATTTTTCCTAAATTATTTTTATCATTTACGGTTTCCATGTGTTGCATTAATTATGAAAATATTAATGTTTCTAAAATAAAATGCAACACTTATCTTGCTTATCGAAGTATTAGTGCGGAAAAAACGCACATGGTTACAATTTTAATATGTCACGTGAGGTCTGAAAAAATTTTTATTCTAATTTATCTATAAAAACGATTTTCTTCGAAGTACATAAAAATTGAAACTAATGATTGTGTCCTCATAATGACAAGGGGGAGAAAGGGGGAATATCAGAGTTTTCTGTGGAGATACATCCCAAAGTACGACTAGCCGCTTGACAGAAAAGAGGAGTACGGATTTTTCATCATATCAACTATCGAATATAACCACTGTAACAAACTTTGGGTTTCACTCAGTAAATGCTACAGACGAAGTTCAGCCTGGTACATCTTTTTTGAAATGTAAGTCATTTTTTTTTTATCTTAGCTCTTTTTAGCCGAGAGTTCAACTCGACTTTTTCTGACTATTTTTTTTTCTTAACGGTGTTCGTCTGTCTGGCTGTATGTCTGTTGACTTCTGGTACGTTTGACTAAATCTCCAAACCCAGTCAGGACTGTGAGATTTTTGTGACAAATAAAGATTCAAATTAGTTCGAATTTCCCCCCCCCCCCACCCTCATGCTTGTGTTTGCATAGCTTTCGGAATCCTTCTTGGAGATTATCAAAAGAATTATTAATCATTATTTTTAAGTCAAATCAGTAAACTGAGTATTACCTGAACAGTATCTGTTAAGTCAATGTCTAAGTTGAGTAGAGTCTGTTAAATTTTCTGTCAGTTAAATTACAAATATCCGTGTTAGAAAAAAAGGTACTAAGAAAAATGAACAAACTTACATATTAATGTATCTTTAAAAAAATATCAATTTTGTTTCTCTATAAATATGCATGTATTTTCTATTTTTACTTTAGATATTATAGTTGGAATATCCACATGTGTAGGGCTGGGATTCTTTGCTCTTGTTATTCTTTTGCTGGCATGTAGGATTCGGTATGTTTCTTTTGTTGTATTAAATTTCCATTTTATTTGAAATTAAAAAAAAAAAAAAAGATGATCTCCTTGGAGATTTCTTTTTTTTAAAACACTTATGCTTTTTAGGAAGCGAAAACAACAAAGGAGAAATACGCCATCAACAGGGGAATGTCATACAGATCATGAAAGTTATAATGTATTCGACAAACCTTTACCAGATAACCCTCTATACAATTCCAGCGAATTGCCAAGCGAAGTCGGATATTCTACAATACCTGATCACCAAGAAGGTTCTCAGTTGTCAACGCAAGGGGACGATGTCGAAAGACAGGTAGTTTATACAAGACCAACACAGACAGAAATAACAGATAGGCATGTGGCTGAAATTCCTATCTATACAGTTCCTACAAAGCCCAAAAAGAAAACAATAAGCGACACAGCCGGAGCAGTCTATGCTCAAGTAAGCAAACCGCATGTAAATGTTAAAAACAGTCCTGTTCGAAAGAGGATTCAAGAAGATGGTCTTGAGTATATTGATGTAGATCATTCCAATATTTTGCACGCCAAAGAGCAACTCAAAGACAAAGAAAAACTTTCGGCGATAACAACGTATGCCGAATTCAAAATTTAAATGTATATTCATCAATGACACAATATAAACAATATTTCTTTTATTATAGAAAATAATTTGCGTTGGGATGTTCCATTTAAAATCAAGATTTACATCACATTTGATAAACTAATTTTATCGCATATGAACTCACATCTTAAAGGTGTTGTGTTTTCTTTTAAAATTCATTTTATCATTATTTTCCTTTGGGGTATTTGTAATTGAATCTAATAAAACATTCTAATGCAATTGTTTTGTAAAACACTCTTTGATTGGCTAATGCACTGATGTTTGAAGCAGTAAAACGAGCATTAACGAGCGTGAAAGCTTTTTCATTGTGACGTCATAATAGAGCGACGCAAAAATACAATGCTCCGTGACGTATTTCATGTAACAAAAGTCAACAAAATAAGATATAAACAACAAACAAAATGCATGGATTGCATTAGAATGGGAATAACTAAACTTCTAATTTGGTATTTGCGACCGTTAATGCTGATTTAACCACGTCGCAAACATTCGTTTTACCGGCTCCACTTACACGTTGCCGGTAAAACTTAGTTTGCGAATGTTAAATCAGCATTAACGGTCGCAAATGCCAAATTAGAAGATAGTTATTCCCTAATTTACCGGTACATCACATTTGAGAAACTAATTTCATAGCATATGAATTTACATTTTATACTTTTTGTGTGTTTTTTAAAAATTCATTATATCATTATTTCCTTCTGGGGTACTTGTAATTGAATCTAATAGAACATGTACTTTCAATTAATAGTTAAAAAATGATTAACTATGCGGACTGACTCAATATAAAGTCATCAATTCAATTCAATACTTTATTCTCTTAAACTGCACTACAGAATAGGGAAAATACAAACTTAAAATGTGTACAATACAGCATGCGTGAGGAAAATAGAAAAATAAAACAAAAGAAAAAAATGACTTTGTCATAAACCAAGCAACCAACTCTCTCGGTAAAAAATCAAATATAGTTTATTTAGTTGACCTTTGATCGTTTTATTTAGATAATTGTTCAGACTCAAAACATTCTGATTTGTAAATATACATTTACCTCGAAGGGTAACTCTCTTATTAATTGTATTGATGAATTTACAAAGGTTATGGATATCGGATACTTTTTACATGAAAATAAATTGGAAAACTTAAAAGCACTTGGTTACACATGTATATATGTTGATGGTATTTAGATATTCTACTAAAATTACATTTGTACGAGCTGGACACGACATAATATAGTGGTATTCGTCTCCAGTACAGAGTCTTTGATTTGAAGGTATATTGCTTCATAGGCCTGTTTCTTTTGGTAAATTATGATTACTAGTTCTAATCGGAAAGTCAGGACTTCGAACGCCGGCCACTATATGCCTTAGTCGATTAAACAGGCAGTAACTGTACCTTTGCTAAGTGGAAGGCTTTGTCAAGTAAATGTTGCAATTCTTTCGTATGAAACATTAAAAATCGATGCCCTATGTTACAGCAGACGTTCACACAATAAAGATACCTTAATGCTCAATAATCTTGAGCACTAGTAAAGGTATAAATTTAAGCCTTTCCCCTGTATATGTATACGATGAAGTCTCTTTAGGAATTAAATAATTCTAGACATATGAATTGTATATGAGATATGACTTTTAACAACAGACAAAAAGCAATATACAAAACATTGTCATTAACGACGACGGACCTAATTCATTTCTACAATAGAAAATTTACTCAAATTTTAATATGAGGTAAAGTGTCTCTTTGTGAGTTAAAATCGATGAAAAAAATATATGGTCATCGATATAGATTTTTAATAGGGAGCGTTTCAAAAGTAGGCAACGAAAATCGATGATTACTATATGAAGTAATGGGAAAATGCGAGTTTGTGGTATAAAAGTGATGATTAAAAAAATTCTGCAATAGAATTTTTATTCATATTAAGATACAATGTTAACAAGATAATTTAGTAGCAAATAATGCCAAAAAATAAATAGGTCATAGGCCTAGATTTTTTAAGGTAGTGTGTCAAACTCTGGTGAATGGCATATTTTGGGGGGAAATTTTCATTGAAAATACCTTGGCAAAATAAATTGTGTCGTTTTATTTCCTTATTCTTCAATTTATTTTTACACTAAATAAATATAATATTTTAAAGTTGTTTAAAACTCTAGGGATGGTGATAAAGTAGGATTTATGTGAAATATATGCGTATAATACTCTAGGGATTGTCTCAAAGTACGATTTTTGTGACCCACGTCCCATGGGAATCAATATCTTAAAGCCTGATTATTTCAAAAGTTAATATTTTCTTATCATACCTGTAATTAACTGAAATACTTGTACCTGATACAGTGTTTGTCAATTAGAAATAAGCATAGATAGTAAAAAGTTTAAGTATAAGGGACTGTTTCAAGATAGGTGTTTTTGATTTTTCGTTATATGCGTGCTTTACTGTATATGATCAAATAGTCAAATACTGATGCATTTTTCACGAAAATAGTGCAGAAAAACAAAATAAACGCTCATGGGCGACATTGCTCACCTTAGCACACTTTAACCTTGGCCACAACTTTTGAACAGTAAGGGATAAGGCTTTCATACTTCATATACCTAATCCTTGTGAGAAGACCTTTCAATGGATACCAAGAACTTTGACCTTTTGACCTTTGAGATTGACCTACTTTAAAAAAGCAAACCTTGACCATAACTTTAAAAGAGTTAGGGCTAGTGTTTTCATACTTTACATATTTGATCCTTATGACATGACCTTTCATTTGATACCAAGAACTTTAACCCTTTGAGTTTGACCTACTTTTTAAAAAATTGAACGTTGGCCATAACTTCTGTACGGTTAGAACTAGAGCTGTCATATTCTACATAAGTAATCTATGTGGCAAGACCTTTCATTTGATACTAATTACATTGACCTTTTGACCTTGAACTTGGAGATTTTTGTACTTATTAAAAAACAAGCATTGGCTAACTTTCAAATTTCAAAATTGTTTACCAGTGAGAACACCCTACTCTTGGTACCAATTAATTAAATTTGCATTTAAGAAAAGCTTAATCTTTGCTATGTTGGCCGTACGGGGGCATCAGTGTTTCACAAACACATCTTGTTTCTTGGTTTTTCTAGGTAAAACTTTGATCCCTTATTGTACCCCACCTTACCCCCCCCCCCCCCCCCCCGAGCTGAAATATCTATCAATTTGTAATTTTGGAATGTTTTCAAAATATTTGACAATAATGCACCTGTGTTATTTTACTCTGAGTTTAGGCTACTATACTTGTAAAAGTATAAGAATTTCACACACAGGTAAAATACTTTATTAATAAAGTATTTCACATTTCAGGACAAAATGATGACAGGTATAACAGATTTAACTATGGAGTATCAAACAGTATCATTCGGTATCAAATACATGTATTGATGAAATTTAATATACAAAAATATTTTACTTTTATATGTTTGTTTATAATGATTTCACTCAATCATTTTAAATAGCTACATGTATTAGCTGTTACCTTAAAGCTTATATACACACTTTTATTTTTTTAACTAGTTTTTTTTTATGAGATATAACATATATACATGTGGGGTAAAACTAACTAGAGTTCCTAATTATTTCATCACATCTGTATATCTAAAAAATGATGTACATGCTGTTTACATGTAGAACAACACTATAAACTTGCAATGTTGTTACATATGAAAAGTTTGTAAAATTTTTCCAGTGGGTAATCATATATTCTGGTGCTGTAAAGTTGGAGGTCTTTTGGTTCTGTAAAGTTGTAGGTCTTTTGGTTGAGAGAGTAAAGGTTGGAACAGCAGATATTGGCACACTAAAAAACCCTCACTCCTCATTGCTCCCAAGTGTCATTCACTGCATCTTGTGACTTCTCATCAGGGTTAAATAATCTTGTAACATGTGGTAAGCTACAACAATCAATCTATGCCTGCAAGGTGCATTTTTGGAATTACTGGAAATTCAAGAAAAATTCCTGATGATGATGGGTGCTCCAATAGATGCAGCAATTTGAACTATCTGCATATTGTTGTTTCTACCTGAAATACACAAAAAAAAACTATGTGATATTCAGATAAATAAATAACATTCAATCAATCAATATCAAGTGTACACATTTTTTTGCATTTTGTTAGCAAAGGTAAAATAAAAAAAAACCACTATGCGCCCAGACACAACAAAGATTTGAAAAGCTATTTTTAGCTTAAGGGTCACAGTCAAGGTCAAACTAAGGGTCATTTACCTTGGTGTCTTTTGAAAACTTAATTAGTGGAGTATGCATACCAAATATGAAGTCTCTATCTGTTAAAAGTTATGGCTAAGGTTAAAGTTGACAACAGACAGACAAACAGATAAACAGACAGGACAAAAACAATATACGCCTCTGATCTATCGATTGGGGCGCATAAAAAAATATATGAATAAACTGAAAGAATCAAAACTAGAACTGTCCAATAGGGACAAATACCCCCCGCTGGGTTTTTCAGAGAAGGTGCCAATTCAAAAATACTTTATGGATTTAGAGGTGTTCACTATTTACTTACAACAATTTGCAGTAAAATATAAGTGCTCATTATGTTTCTTAATGAGTGAAACAAAAGTGCAACCAAATGAAACATCAATACTAATTAATACATTGTAATTCAATCGTAACATTTTTTTATTTCTGCATTAAAAAAATTTATTGCAATTATGTGTCATGACACTCTGCAAACTAATTGTTGAAAAAAAATCATTATACAAAATCAAATTAATCTTGATATATCAAATTCATTTTGAAAATAAAAAACTGGTCATCCAGTAATGAATTGCTTTGACAGACAATAAATTACAATTAAGAGAATAAGAGTAGAGAGATCTTTAATTCTTGTGCCTTATTCCCTGGAGATTTGATAACACACACACGCTTGATAAGAGATATGCCTTAACAACCTCCAACATCAAACTCATTAATTTATCTTTAACTGGATGCTTGTCCAGTCATTATTCCCAAGAGACAAATGAATATCTTCTGTGTAATGTAAAAACTGTTTTTAACACTTGATGATGTTTCCTTTTTTTTAG